AATTCGACGAGATCCCAAACACCATTCTGTTCCATGGATTTTAACTCTTCATTTATAGCATTGACTTATTTAGTAGAATCATCACTATTCATGGCTTGTGAAAATGAGACTGGATCTTTGTTAATCCCAATATCAAAATCAGATTCCTGTAGATACACCATGTAATCATCTAGAATGGCAAGCTTTCTTTCCTTCTGAGATCTTCTTAGAATTGTCAGTTGTGGTGGTTCTACAATATTTTCAATGGTGGTATCTTCATGAAGTGGTGAAACATGAGGTGGTGAAGGATTTTCATTATGTTATTCATTTTTCTCAGGCTGTGGAATAGTCTGAGGAACAACAATTTTTCGATAAGGGTCAAATGTTGGCACATCCACCCTAATTTCTTCGAAATTCACCACTCGTGTTTTCTCACTTCCACTAATTTCACCATTCTCTAGGAATCTAGCATTACCAGTCTCCACTATCCTCGTACTGTAATTAGGACAATAAAATTTGTACACTTTAGACTTGTCTGGATAACCAATGAAATATCCAGATATTTTTCTTGAGTCCAACTTTTTCTCTTGTGGGTTGAAGATTCTTGCCTCTACTGGATAACCCCAAATATGTAAGTGTCTCAAACTAGGTTTCCTACCAGTCCACAACTCAAAAGGAGTTGTTGGGACCGCCTTACTAGGAACCCTATTCAAGATATACATGGCAATCTTTAAAGCTTCACCCCACAATCAAATGGGTACAATCGAGTAACTTAACATACTCGTAACCATATCTTTAAGTGTATGATTACACCTTTCAGCAACTTCATTCTGCAGTGGCATACCAGGCATTGTATATTAAGCACGAATGCCTTTCTTTTCTAAGAATTTGGCAAATAGGCCAGGATTTTAGCCTGACTCATCATATTTACCATAATATTCCCCATACCTATCTGATCTCATTATTTTAACCTTTCTATCTAATTGTCTCTCGACTTCAATTATGTACACCTCAAGGATGTCAATAGCCTGAGGCTTTTCATGAATTAGTTACACATATCCATAACGTGAGAAATCATCTATAAATGTGATGAAATATTTTTCACCACTAAGACATGGGATGTTAAGTGGCCCGCAAATATATGTATGAATTATCTCAAGAAGCTTATTACCTCTTGTGGCACCTTTCTTGGTGTGTTTGGTTTGCTTTCCTTTGATGCAATCTACACATATCTCAAAATCAGTGAAGTCTAGGTTTTCTAAATCTCATTCTTTACCATTTTTTCAATTCTATTTCTAGAGATATGCCCCAACCGTCTATGCCACAAGATTGAGGATTTTTCATTAATTAAACCAGTTTTAAACCAATATTCGAATGCATAGTTACTAATGATTGTGCAAACTCATGATTTAAGGCAATTTTATATAAACCATCACTTAAATTACCAGAACCAATCATTATTGAATTAAACATTAAATTGAGTTTTCCACAACTAAATAAAACTGAATATCCAACACTATCTAATTTGGATAACGAAACTAAATTCCTAGAAATTGAAGGAACATAAAAAGTGTCTTCTAGATCGATCTGATGACCCGTCTTTAAGATCAGTCGATAGGTTTCTACAGTTACCACTTCAGCTTTGAGACGATTCCCCATATAGACAAATCTTTCACTTTCCTTCAGTTTCCTTGTTCAAAGATATCCCTGCATGTCATTTGTACTGTGTGTCGTGGCTCCAGAGTCAATCCACTAAGTATTTGAAGGTACTTCAACAAGATTTGATTCATAACAAACAAAAGAAAATTTCTTACCTTTCTTTTCGAACCAAGCCTTTCGCTTGCTGCAGTCTTTCTTTACATGTCCCTTCTTGCCACAAAAGTAACACTTGACAGTGAAACCATTCGAAGCCTGATTTTTTTCCCCAGGCCCATTCTTTTTTTTGGGTTGATTTTTTTTTTTTTTTAATTTTACAAACTTACCCTTCTTTTTCTTTAGAGCTCCATGAGTTACAGCCAATATAGTTTGACGTCCTTCCTCCATCAATGTCACTTCCTCCTGAATACACATATTAGTAAGCTCATTCAAACTCCACTTATCTTTATTGGTGTTATAGTATAATGCCCCAACCCTTCACATGTCATAGATATTGTCCACTTTGGGCTACGGTCGCATGGATTTATTTTTCCCAGTAGGTCATCCATCCTAGAACTACTCCAGCCTAAGCACGCTTAACTACAGAGTTCTGCTAGGAATTTCACCACTCAGGAAAAGGCCTCGATTACTTTTATAGCCCAGGAACTCCCCATCCATTCCCGATGTTGGACATCGGGACCTTACAATCCACCTACCTTAGGGCTGCATGTCATCGTGCAGTAGCCTGCTAGCTCGCAAGCCCGCCCACATGCACCGAGAGACGCCAGGGGCCCATACTCGGTACTCCGGATAGTTGGCTATGATACCATTTGTAACACCCCAACCCTTCATATGTCATAGATATTGTCCGTTTTGGGCCACGCCCGCACAGATTTATTTTTTCCAGTGGGTCACCCATCCCAAAACTACTCCAATCTAAGCATGCTTAACTGGGGTGTTCTAATAGGGATTTCACCACCCGGGGAAAGGCCTCAATGCTACATAAGGGTCCAAATTTTTACTTTTATAGCTCAAGAACTCCCCCTCCATTCTCGATGTGGGACACTGGGACCTTACAATGATGTATCGTATCTTTAGGCACATGCATACACTAATATATATATATATATATATAGATTACTTCACACTTTTGTGGGAAGACTCATACAGATTCATACAGATTCCCTCCCCTTCTCAATTCATACAAATTAACCATAGTATTTCGTTTTATTCCTATGATTTTAAGAATTACATTGAAAATGTCTCATTACATTAAAAAATCAAGGTAGAGATTAATCAATTGATATACCTGAGGATTTATTGAGAGAGAAGATGGAAGCAAATGGAGATTAGAAAACCTAAAACCAAATCAGTTCCAATGAGATTAGAAAACCTAAAACCAAAAACAATTGATCAGTTTACCTGACGAGAGCGAAAGAGAGAGATATAGAAAAGAGAATTATAGTGTGAATCTAAAAGAGAGGAAGGCATATATAACTGAGGATTTAGGCGGTAGAGCGAGTTGGTGGTATCGGTGGAGCGACGACAGCACCAGTGGAAGACAGCAGAGCGAAACAAACTCTCAACTTAAGAGAGAGAGAGAGAGAGAGAGAGTTTATCGATACTAAAAGCTTATCGTGAAGAAATTGATGCCATCTCAAAAGAAGAAACAAAGCAAAAATATGTCGTTTTAATAAAATTTTTTGCAATGGTTTTTTCCCGTTGCAAATAAACTACCTTTTGAGACGGTTAGAGTTGTTTCTGTCGTCAAAAAAACAAAAAAAAAAATTCGCCTTTTTATTTGCAACAGACACTTTTCGTCTTAAAAAATATACATTAGCGACGATTTAAGTAATTCGTCGCAAATTGTGAGTTTTTGCAAAGGCAAATTGTTCCATTACAAAAGCTTCTGTGTTTTTTAACCCCTCTTCTTGTAGTGTTAGTGCAGATAGATGCACTAAAATATTTCTTTCTATGCGGTTGGTTGGATTTTTTTTTTTTTTTTTGGTTTGATTTTTTTTTGGTTTTGTTAGTGTTTTGTTTTAAAGTATAAATAGTTTATATTGAGTTATATCACTTTAAGGATGTGATTGATATAATTTTTTATTTTATTTTATACGAGTCTTATGTTGAAGAAGGCATGGGATTCTGTACCAAAAATTAAGGTGGGGATGGGTAGATATTTTGGGATAGGTGATACATCTGATTAAAAATAAGTCAACAACTAATGAGTTGTCGGAAAGGGGAGAAAATTATCAAAAAGTTAGAATCATATGTATTTACATATCCTAAAATACTTTCACATATTTTTATATAATTTTTTTTACACATTTTAATGTATATTTTATTTGTCAACCTAGACAAATAACAACTCTATGGACAGTCATTGGCATTTTTTAAAATGAAATATGTGATGGTGACATTTTTTAAGTTACAAATTATTCCATATAAGGCAGTCCCTAATCCATACTCTTTGGTTCTTTTTTCATGAATTTTGAGTAAAAATTCAATTAAAAGCTTGATTTAATATGAAGGTTACCAATGCTAAAATCAAAATTTTAATTTCTCAGTCCATCCCAAAAATCTCTTTTAACCATTTTTTCTTATGAAAGAAATGAGTGTTTCAACCATCCTCAATCCCTAGTTCAAAAAAAAAAAAAATAAATAAATAAATAAAAAACCATCCTCAATCCTTATTCCTATCCATAGTTGAATAAAAACATGACCGTGGAGCATTTGATGAAAGAATTAAGTAAGCCTTGAGTTGATGAAAAATTTGGGTCTCCCTTTATTTGATATTGATATAGGTTTAACGAAATGGTTGGAGGCTTGGACTTGGAACTCATTTTTAAGTATTTTTCCATTAAATTTGAGTTTGACGAATGATTAAAGATGCTATCTAAGATTCTATTTTTTCTACAGATGATCTGAAATTAAGAAAATGGAAAAAGAAATTGTTTCCTATTTACTTTCCTAATTTTGTTTTTTTAATCTGCCTAGATAACAAACAAAGAAATTTTTTTATTTTACATTTACCTTCACGTAGAGGGATTTGAAATGAATTCTTTTAAATACACCCATATAACTCTTCTCCACACTGACTTTGTGATGAAACCCAATTCTCAAAAATTAGAGAGGGTGGGTATGAAACCTAATTCTCAATAGTCTCAACTCATGGCTCGTGTCGTGGCTACTCGACCAATGTGAGTTGTCAAAATCAAGGGGGAAAAAAAATACGAAGAAAAGAGAAAAAAAGGGTTACATTTGTAAAACTGAAACCAAGGATCTTTCCGCCCAAAAATTCATCACTTTTTAAGGATCATAGCCTTTCCTCTTACCTGCAAAAATTTATATTTGAATTGCTATGACTGTACTCCTCTTTGCAGGATTTGAAAGATTGTCAAATTTGAGGAAGCTGGAGATGTTGGATCTGGGTTTCAATCACTTTGATGACAATAATATCTTCCACTCTTTGGGTGCTCTCACTTCAATTAAGACTTTGATTATCCGTCACAATGCCTTGGGAGGATACTTCCCTGCACATGGCATGTTTCCGTCCATTCATTTTCATAGGGCGTCCATAATTCTCTTTCCACGCAGTTTCTTTTTAATTATATATATATATTCTTGGCGCAGAATTAGTAGCATTGAGAAACTTGGAAACATTGGATATAGGCGGCAATCTTTATCAGGGCTGTCTCCCAATGCACGGTGACACCAACCATCTCTATATCTCTCTTTTATTGTCTATTTGATTTGACGATAAACTCATTCAAAACTTTTTGAGTAAATTACAAATATTCTTTTTAAATTTATTTAAAATACAAATTATTTCATATAGTTTGAAAAATTATAAATATCCTCTTATTAGTATTTTTCATTTAATAAAATTAACTAAAAAAATAAAATTTATAATTACTCTTTTATATAATAATAAAATTATTAATTGAAACATATTTCTAACATCATTAAAAACTGTTAATTGACTTAATGATTTATTAATAAAATGAGCGATTTGTTATGAAATTAAAAATCTCAAAGGGTGGAATGTAATTTTTAAAACTACAGGGGACAATTCGTATTTTAATCAAACCTCAAGGGTATATTTGTAATTTACCCAAACTTTTTTAAGCAAATAGTGTTTTATATCATAAATCACTAAAATTATTTTAGTTTATATAATAATACTAGCATATCACTCATATTATGCACAAATTAAAAAAAAATTAAATATAATTATCATATTTTTTTATAAATAATATATTATTTTAATCTATATATACTGATATTTTTAGCTATCTATGTAAATTTGCTGAACTTATTTGTTCCCATACTTGAACATGTCCAAATTAAATTCACCTATCTATCCAAATCATTTTAACCTTTATGTTACACTTTAATACTTTAGAATAAAAATATATGAATTTTAAAAAATTATCATATTGGTTTTGAAAGAGAAACAATTAAAAGAAATTTTAAAAACTTAATGAGTAAGAAAAAATTATGGTAACATGTAATTTAAAATCTCAAAAAAAAAAAAAAAAGTTAAAAAATGTATTCAGCTTGTTTTGTTTGAATTTTCAGATTTACTTTTCAAAAAATTACAATTTTTTATTTTTCGTATTTTTTTTTGTTTTCACTAATTTTTTTTAATATTCTAAGTAATTTTTTTTTAATTTTTAGATACACTTAACATAAATACGCTTAAAAAGTATAATATTTGTGATTTTTTTTATAAAAAAATTACTAAATACCAAAAATACAAGAAAAAAATACGAGAATTTAATACATTTTCGTATTCTTGTGTATTTATTAATTTTTTAAAATATTTTTTTTATAAATATTTTACATTTTAGATACATCTAAATAATGTGCATCTAAAAAAAAAAAAAAATTGCTTAAAGAAAAAAACTCAATTTCCAGAAACTTAAAACAAAAAACTCAATTTTCAAAAAATTAAATTCGGAAAATTGAAAGCATTAAATGCCTCACAATATTTTTTATTTTTTCTTTTTTGTAAACTTTTTTAAGGATGTGATTGCAATTAAAACAAATGTCATATTTATTAAAAAGTATAATTTTATTTGGATATTTATCAAAAGATCAACTAATTTACACAAAAATTAATTAATTAAAACTTTCAAATTTTATTGTAAAAATTAAACTATAACATGCACAACGCTACAATAATATTAAATGGAAACATAAATGTTCACTTTATATAAATGAAACAACTGATTTTTTCCTTTTCTTCTTGATTGTGGGATTGTGAGATTGTGTAAAATAAAAGTTAACAATTGTTTGAATGGAAATTAAATTTTCATTTCAAAATCTCAGCCGTCCAATCTTTTATTGAGTCAATCTCAATTGTTCTAACCAATTATAAGAGATACACATTTTTAAAACTGTTCTGTTTTATTAAAACTGTTCTGTGATCACTCAATAATTGTTTTCCTGATGTGAGATTATGTAAACAAAAAACTAATAATTATTTAGTTGAGAAATTAATTTCGAATCAAACAAGTCTAATTAATATATTTTGATAAAATCACTAAAATTGCGGTTAAACCATCGAATTAGTCAAACCGAAAATAGTTCAGCTTAATAGGCTAGGTGAAAAGACCAATTAACTTACACAAAAATTAATTAATCAAAACTTTTAAATTTTATTTTATTTTAGAATTTAAACAGTTTTGAACTGAAATATGCACAACATTACAATATTAAATGGGAGTATAAGGTTCACTTTATATAAATGAAACAACTCATTTTTTTCTTCTTCTTTTCCTGATGTAAGATTGTGTAAAACAAAACTTAACAATTGTTTGGGTAGAAAATTTATTTTGAATCAAGCAATCTCGGTTGTTCAATATTTAATTAGGTCAATTCGCACCATTCTAACCAATTGTAACTCTTAAACAATTTTGAAAACTGTCATGTTTTATTATATAAGTGAAATAACACACTCAATTGTTTTTTTTTTTTTTTTGACGTGGGATTGTATAAACTAAAAGCTAATAATTATTTAGGTGTGAAGTTAATTTCGAATCAAACAAATCTAACCAATATATTTTAATAAAATCACTAAAATTGTAATTAAACTAATGAATCAGTCAAATCAAAAACAATTTAGCCTAATTGGCTAGGTCAAAATACCAATCAACTTACACAAAAATTAATAAATTAAAACTTTTAAATTTTATCGTAAATTTAAATTATCTTGAAGTGAAGTATGCACAATACTATAATATTAAATAAGAGTATAAAACTCACTTTATATAAACGAAACAACTCACTTTTTCCTGATGTGGGATTATGCAAACTAATAGTTAACGATTGTTTAGGCAGGAACTCAATTTTCATTTCACAGTCTTAACCATTCAATCTTTAATTGAGTCAATCTCAACCGTTCTAACCAATTATAAGAGATACACATTTTCAAAAACCTTTTTGTTTTATCATATACATATATTACTTTGTTATTAGATGAGATTTAGGAAATAGATAAATATTAGGAGAGAAATTTTAGGAACTTGTAATTCAAATTTTTTTTTTAATTTATAGTTACTTTGTTAGCCAATAGTATTATTTTAAAATATTTTTTAAATTACAATGGTTGTATGTTTTTTTTTTTTAATTAATAGTTACTTTGTTAGCGAATAATATTATTTTTAAATATTTTTAAAATTACAAAAATTAGCAATTGTGGTTTTGTTTTTTTTTTAATCTACAATTATTTTTTTTAAAAATATATAATTACTTTGCTATGAAATGAGATTTGTGTGTGTGTGTGTGTTTTTTTAATGTATAACTTTTTTTTTTAATGTATAATCACTTTGTTATGAGATGAGATTTAAGAAAGAAAAAAAATATTAGGAGAGAGATTTTAAGAACTTGTAATTTAAAATTTTAGGTGATTTTGTGTGTCGGTGTTTTTTTTTAAAAATAAATTTATAATTGCCTTGTTAGTCAATATTTAAAATCACAAAAATTAGTAATAGTGGAATAAAATTTTGGAGCTGAAATATAAGAGTTCAAAGTATAAAATTTACCCTTTATAATAATATGAGGAAAGAAGAGAATAAAAACTTGACTGGTGACCACGGTGTGATGTTTGCAATCAGTTTACAATGATATTCTTTTTTACTTCCTCACAAATTTTGTGACATAATGTTTTGGCAGTGAACATTTAAAATTTGATTTTTAGGAACTTTTAATCACCAAGATGTCTGAAATTCAATTGCTAGAAATTTTTATTCACCAAACCACCATGCAAGGGTCGCCTTTAGAAGAACAATTGAAGGGTTCCTAGAGAACCATATTGAAGGAATACAAGAATCCAGCTACACTAATGATGATGCCTTCATGTAACTACACCTGACGAAAGTGACACTTGATTCTACATGCTGTTTTATCAATAATGTCTTTTAATGATATGAAAATATTTTACTTAACAAAGGAAAAAAAAAAAAGAAAAAAAAAGAGAGAGAATAGGATATGATATGATATTATCATTTTTTTAATTAATAAAAAGTAAAAATTTCATTAAAAATATAAAATTGTAGGTACAGGAAGATATAATGCATCGAGAGAGATTCGATAAATATAAATTACTCCTATTACTATTATTTGCATTCGTACAACCAATCCTTCTGTCTCACATTTTTTTTTTTAAATACATGAAAAAAAAAAAACAAAAAGGATAGAGAAAATAGGTGATATTATCATTGTTTCTTATCGAAAGAGGAATCTTACACGTCTTAATGTGGACTCTAAAATGATAACAAAACCTATGATGCACGTGTACCATATCTCCAATCCAATATAACTATGTATTGAATTTGACACAAAAATTATATATATATATATATATAAATATATTTATTAATAACACCCACGAATACACCACAAATACACAATCCACTTACACACAGTAGTACACTATATCACTAGCACACATGTGCTGACTTGACCAAGACACCACTTACACAAAACTTTATTATACTCTCGTGACACCTGGCACACCTCGCACATGCTATTTCACTCACACATTTTGTATATATATCTCACACACTTTCTTTGTATTCAGTCTCGCACACCTAGACTCGATCCTTAGTCTCACTCCTCTTTATAGCTACCAGAGTCAGTTATATCCACCGACTTTGAAATTCCGGAATTCTCCATAAGAGGCAGGCAACTCAAGCTTCTCACAGCCACAGATTTCTTTAACCAAAATCTAAGAAGAAATATCTAAAGAGAAAGCTAGAGAAAATTCTAGAGAGAGAGAGAGAGAGAGTTAGTGTTGAACTCTAACATATGTACCACACTTTGGTCCAATATAACAATATAACTATACTCCTCTAGATACTGATAGGAAAACCACATCTCTGGTCCAATATAAATATGCACCGCAAACAATTTTCAAAAAGAAAATATGGATGCAAGATAAGAACTAGTTGAACAACTTACATTTCTTTATCAACCTGTTGCATTTGTGCATTTGTATGTTTGTTCCTTGGGAAAGAACAAAAATAAATAAATAAATAAATAAATAAAACTGAATCTCTTGATGGTATATGTACTTAATAGTGGCACAAACTCTCAAGATTGTATTTGTTCAAATGGAGGAAGTGGGTCATTATTTGTTACAATATTAGTTGATCAATTAATCATTGCATTGCATGTAATCAAGGATATAATATGTACGAATTACTTGGGTAAGAAAAATTTATTCAACACCAGTCTGATGGTGTTTGGATCTTTGAAATCTATGAAGTACGGATACCATCTAAAAATCACGCATAGGTATTTGACATGTGTTGGATACAGACACGTTCCGTACACATGTCGAATATGTTGAAGGCGGAAACACGTAAAGGATATACTGAGTACTATTTATTTCAACTAAAATAGAATATCTAAAGTTAAAAAATTTGATAAAATTAAATATTTAACATAAAATATATATTAAATAGTTAAAACTATAACATATAATAAATATATAAAATTATATGTTTTGCACATGCCCCCATCTATCCTATCCTATCATGTATTTTTTGAAAATTTACATATCTTCGTGTTCGTGCCGTGTCACGTGTCCATACTTCTTAAGGATGTGTTGTATTCTATTGAAGTGTCACTGATTCATTTTATCAAAATTTTCATGTAGGTTTTGAAAAGCTGTCGACTTTGAGAAAATTGGAGACTCTAAATCTTGAATGGAACGAATTTGATTATAGCATTCTGCCATCTTTGAGTGCACTTAGATCCCTTAAGATGCTTAATCTCCGTGCAAATAAAATTGGGGGATTATTTCCACCTCATGGTAACTTCAATTGTGTCCGAAAATTCATTAGTGTTTCTTATTAGTACAAGGAGTTTAGAACTGTTAATCATAATTAAAATTACATAATTATTTTTACTAATCTTGTTATGACTGTGTGTAAACTCATCACTGTGTTGTTTCTTTGTGCAGAATTAGCTTATTTTGGAAACCTGGAAAGGTTGGATCTAAGTTATAATCAATTTAATGACATCCAAGGTAAACCTCAAAAGTTTTTAATGCACTAACAATAATGGTCTATCTTCTCCATCCTATTGCATTCTAATCACTGATTTGGCCCATACTGCCTAGAAAGAAGAACAGACCAATATTATCTAGAAAGAAGAATGAGTACATGTTTCACAATCTTGTAGAAACTGATATTGCAGGTCTTGAAGTTCTCTTTTGACCTCCATCTTGATGCAATTTAACTAATTCTCATAATTCTGAACTAGATAGCTCAATTTATAAAGATACATATAGCTTGGACACCAAAATACTCCTCAAGGAGTTCTATTACATATATTTTTATGCTGTCTATGCAAATCTGGGGCTGTGTCTCTTATCCATATGCTTCTATTATGCCCAGTGCCTTGGAGAGTGTGGTATGAAATGCTTAGATGGCGGAAGGTTCAAGGAGCACTGCCAGCCTCAGTGGAGGACATTCTTGAATGGTGGTCAGGGGTGGGTCTCACCAAAAAGGAAAGGATGATGTGGAATGCCATTCCTTTAGTTGTGATGTGGTCCTTATGGAAACATCCTAATGAATGCTTATTTCGGGAGGTTGTCCCAAGTGTGGATGGGATAATGGATCTGATTAAGTTTAAAATGCCTGTGTGGTTCAAGGAAGTATTTAAGGAACATATGTTTTTAGTTCATGATTTCATTTTTAATCTAGAGCACTCAGATTCAGTTTGGGAGGTGGTTAGAGTGAGTGAAGTTATGAGGAGGCCTAGTGTGATGTTGATGCTAGGCTGCAGAGCTTTGTCTGAATTTCTGCAGTATGTTTTCTGCTGTGTGTGTTGAAGCTATGCCTCTGTTCTACAGTTAGTTTCTAAGCTCTAGTGTTGGTTGGGTTGAAGAATGTTGCTTTGTGCTCCAATTAGTTTAAAGGCACTTTCAAGTTGAATTTAGATATAGTAACCAATGTTACATATAGATCTGTAGAAAAATTCCTCTGCTGTTTAGGTGGCTCTCAGAGTGTTCTGCTCATAGCCCTGCTGATTCATCTCAGTGAAGTTCTGTGGTGCTAAGGATTGGTGATGAAGGGTTGATGCTCTCAGTTGGGTGTCGTTTAGTTGCATCTTTGATGGACTGTTAAAAGCCTTCTGTTGCTTCCTATCTACCTCTAGGGTTCTCTCTGGTTGAGCTCAATGTCAGTGTTTGTCGGTTGTCTTCAACTCTAGTGCAAGTTTAGTGTAACGCCCCCAAAATAATACAACAAAGATAGCTCATATGCGGAATAAATATGAGAAACAACATACTTTCATACATCATAGTTCACTGTTTAACAACCAGTTAAATGCCTTATAGGCTTACATCTTTCCAAGTCATTGCTTGGTTACACAAATTGAGTCTCGCTCATTACAACTTAAGCCCTTGGCTTTACAAATAACAAACATACACACATAATGCATAATTAAGAAGCTCTTGCTTCCTGAAAGTCTATCCATGCTATTGCCTTGGAGGAAACATCTTACCTGCACGTGAAAATGATATTCCCGTATAGGGTGAGCCAACAGCCCCGTAGAAATAATCTAACACAATTTATGAGATTTAGCAAAGGTATAAATACCATGTATATAAACAATACCGATACGGAAGTATTCACAAGGCTTGCATAATCATATGCCACCAAGACCAATCTTATTCCATTTTCTTTGAATTCATTTCCAGTTCATATATGCTACTCAATTCATGAGTTAAATTCTTTATCTTTTAACAACCAAAATGAGACTACAACTCAATGGTTTTCCAACTATGCAAAACACACATAAACACTTCAATCCTGCCATTTTACGGATATTTCGTCCAAAGGAACCGGCACCCATTTATATATATAATTTCGGGTCTTTCACCCAAGACACTTTAACCAACTTGCTTTAAAATGGAGTCCATCCCCTTTCAGCTCCCAAATAAATATACATATGCAATGTATTTATAGACATAATCATATATGGAGTACATCCCCTATCTCCTCCCAATAAACATACATATACAATGTACATATAAACATAACCATATATGGAGTACATCCCCTATCTCTTCCGAATAAACATACATATATAATGTATTTATAGCACGGTCATATTCAATGACAACCAATCAATAGTCTAACATTAAATCGCCTAATCCTCATACAATTTCTACAACAATCATGACTATCCTCCACCGATAGCCCAATACATTTATCTCTAGACATATATGAAATCTCAAGACAAATAATTATTTAAAACTTCCAAAGGTGTGAGATAATACATAACCAATTTCACCACCTATATAAATAACCATCCAATTTAACATATTCAATGTTAATTTCAATTATTTATACAAAATAATCATTAATCAAATTAAGGCAAAAATCTATCTTTTTCTAATATTGACCCAAACACCCAAAATCAACTATTTTGGTACACCAAGATCTTATATTCAAACTCCATACTCATTTACCTCATATTCATAAAAAACCCCTCTTTTCCTTTCACACCCAAATCTTAGATTTGTCCAAACCACTATCAAATCTCATCATCTATACACAATAGCAAATAACTAAGCTAAAAGCCATATTAGAGTGTAGAAAATCTCTACCTCAAAAAAAGAAGACGAGCAAAGTAAGGTTGAACCCCAAAAATGACGAAACCCACTTTTACTTAGATCAATACGAAGCTCTTGAAGCCCTCTACCTTATTCTCAAAGACACTAGGGTCAAGAATACAATGAATTTAGATGAAATCTTAGAGAGAAGGTGAGTTTCTAGAGAGAGAAACTCTAGATCTGGAAATTTGGAGACTTTTAGAGAGAGAGAAAAGCAGAAAATGATCTAAAATGTCACTTTCACGATCTGAAAGCGTGGTCCGCTCGAGCGTGGAAATTCCCGCTCGAGCGTAAGACACAGACTCCCGCTCGAGCGTGGAAAGATCCGTTCGAGTATCGAATACACCTTTCCAGTATTTTTGCAGACAGGTCAAAGTGCAGGAACCAAACATTCTCCACTCGAGCGAGGAAATGGACGCTTGAGCGTACAAGCAACTTCGAATGGATTTTTTCTTTTTGCTTCAAGGGGCGATGCCCCTCGACCCCGCCAGGGCGCTGCCTCGGACCCACCAAGGGGCACTGCCCCCTGGACCCCCGCGAGCTGACCGAGCAGCTCGACCCCCGACCGGTCTAGTCGAAGTGGCAAAACGTGAAAGAAGGATTGAAACTGAGATCGCTATATTTAGTTTGACTTTTGTTCAGTTTTGGGTGCTGAGTGGTGCGCAACCTGCAGGAAATATGTTCTGTGGCTGCCTACTCTGAGGGGAGTTTGTATGCTTCTAGTTTGATCGGTTAATGTTCTGTATACTGCTAGTTTGTATGCTGCTAGTTTGCTTTGTTGCTGATCTGCATGCTGCTACTTTGTATGTTGCTCCGTTGTTGGTTTTCTCTTTGTGTTGGATTCTCTCCAACTGGAGCTCCAGGCTTAATGTGGCTCCGAGCTCCTCTTTATTGATGTACTCTATCATTTTGTATGATTCCATCAATAAAGATTCTTTTTGCTGATAAAAAAAAATATATATATATATATATTTTTATTTTTTATTTTTACAGCCAGAGACATTTCAAATATTTGGGGGAGGGCTTTTGAAATATAAAAAAACGTGACAAAGAAATCAAAGAGAAAGAAAGATAAATAGACAGAAGACTGTGTTACCATGAAAAACAGAGTTTCGTGATTCTAATTTGTGCAAAACCTAAGTTCATCATCTTAATTGTTCACAGTTTGCGTTTTATTTTAGCTTAATACAGCCATATTTTGATATAAAATTTGAGATAAAGTGTGTATTGATGGAAAATGTAGACGATTTTCCTTTTTTACTCTCATGTCATAGTCACATTCTTATCATGTGCCTAGATTCTGTTAAAGATTTAAAAAGTTAAGTAACAGAAATGGGACATTGACATTTGTATAGGGATCAAAGTGAGATTTGACCAAAACTACAGGAGGTTAATTGTCACAATTTCATGTGCAGAGACCAAAATGGGATTTGACCAGAAGTACAGGGGTTAACTGTCATGATTTCATGTGTAAGGGCCAAAGTGAGATTTGATAGTGTAATGGTGCAAAGTGTAATTTACCCTTTTGTTTGCCAATATCATAAGAATGCAAAAGTTAAGGATACAAGAGACACCTTTTAATATTGAAATTTTTTAATTTTAATTACAATTAATCTTAATTAAATATTGTTAGAAAATAATTTATAATAAATTATAAATCATCTTGTTTAGTTTTCAAACTCAAAAATTGGTTTTAGTTATTTTATTTTCTTATGTTTTGTTTTTAGTGAATTTCTTCAAATTTGTGTCATTTTTTATTTTTACTTTTTAGATACACTTAAAAAGTAAAATATTTGTAATGTGAGGTACTCATAAAAAAATATATCCATAAAAGTATCTAGAAAATAAAATGTATTGATCACATTCATTCTAAAGCTGGCTACGTAATACCATGTTAAATCAACACTACACATTTCACTTCGAGAATAAATTTCATATCACCTTTTTGGGGTACATATCTTTTCCAAATATATGTGAAGAAATTTGAAGAAAGTTCACACACACACACACATATACACACACAAAAGAGCACATTTTTGTGTTTTTTTGTCATTCATGAATTTTTTTTTTTAGTTTTTCTTTAAAAATATATTACTTTTTAGGTGTATATAAGAAGTAAAAATATTTGAACTAAATATATAAAATTAAAATTTTAAAAAAAAAACTTGAAAAATAAAAAAATTCAAAAGCAGCTTTCGAAAACTAAACAAAACAAGGTTAATGTTTTCACACTGTTAAAGAAATAAATAAATAAAATTATTATATTTGTTCTTTTGAGGTATACGTATAAAATATATGTACATTAGTTGTCGTTGTTGTATTCTTCCACTTCACATGTTGAGATTTTTTAATATTATTTTGTTTGTTTGTCTATATCATGTTGTATTCATGTTTGTATCTGTGGTGCTCAATACATTGTAACGCCCTTAAAATATAATAATAAAATCATCTCACAATATATTTACCAATTAACAATACATTTCAGAATATGATATCTTTACATCCATATGATTCAGTTGTACAAAAGATGGAGCATGCAATTATACATTCATAAGTTCTAACCCTAAATCTACAGCATATGCGTCAAAAGCAAAAGATATGAAATAAAAGTTAAATAGATAAATAAATGTTTTAATGGCTATAACTTTCCAAGTCGATACTTAGTTACAACAAACGTGAGTTTGAAACTCAATACAAATAAAGCTCTTGGCTTGTACAAAAATAATTACAACAATAACAAAAGAAACTCTTAGTTCTAAGTCCTCTCAAGTTACGGCCTTGGCGGAAGCATATCATTAGCACTTGAAAATGGTTTTTCCACATAGGGTGAGCCAAAACCTAGTAGAAAAACTCTATCCCAGTGTATGAATCTTAACAAAGCTATAAGGTGAATGCATAAGCAATGCTCGTGTCAAAACATTTTATATCTCTTTCCAAAAACCATGCAATGTCATATTTATATCACAATTCATGAAATCATTTCCTTTACAATAGAAAAAAGGGCAGTGGATACAACACTTGGAATCTTTAGGATGTTTCTGCAAGTAGGCTACAAGCACTACCAATTGTCATTTTTAAGCGAAAACAGGACCTTCCAACAATGGATCTGCAATATAGGAATATGCACGTTAAGATTCTTTCTTTCTTTTGTGACCGTTCTCTGTGGTTCCACCACCGCATCCGGCATTAACCGGAGGGCTTAGTACCTATCCGTGCGAGTTTCTGGACTTCACCAAAGACACACAGGCCAACATAATATCACAACTATACTCCTACCTAGATTCACCAAGGTATTCATCAATTTTTCTCAACACAATAAACATTGTCAATGTGTTAAATATATTACAATGCTCGATGCAAATAGACGAGAAATTAGTTTCAATTCAGCTAATTCTCATGCAATTTCTATAACAATCATAGCTATCTTCCACCGATAGCCCAAACAGATATCTCTAAATAGATAGATAATTTTCAATAAAGATATACTTTCCAAAATCTCAAGATAGGAATGATAATACATATTCAACTCCACCATCATTGTCATCATCAGTCCAATTCCATAAAACCCACATTATTTCCATTTCCTCTTTACAAAAATCAAATATTCACATTTTAGGGCAAAATCTCCCCCCCCTTTTATTTATAAATCAATTCTAAGGGTAAAAATACATCATTTTACCACAACTCAACCACATTTACAATTCACAATCATTTTCAAGACCCATTTGAAAACCCCTCTTTTAATTTCGAACCAAAACCCTAGATTTCTTAAAAAATCCCCAATATCAAGATTTCTTTAAAAAGGCAAATAGCTAAGTTAAAAATCATACTAAAATGTGGAAAAATCCCTACCTCAAAGCTTGAAGACAAGGGAGATAGAGAAGAAACTTTGGCAAAGCTGAAAATTAATTTTGCTCCGATTAAAATGAAGCTCTAGGTGAGCTTTACCTTTTTAACAAAGGAACTAGGGTATAAAGATCAATAGATTGAGAGTATTTGGAGGTTGAAGATGAGTTTTAGAGAGAGAGGGTCTAGATTTAAGGTTTTGAAATGTTTAGAGAGAGAGAGAGATATGAAAAAGTGACTTTTACGAATTGATATACACGCAGACCGCTCGAGCGACCAAAATATCGCTCGAGCGACCAGACACAAAAAGAGAGACCGCTCGAGCAAACAAAGTACCATTAGAGTGAAGATCACCACCCTCCCAGTACTTTTATAGACCTACAAAAGTACTGAGAGTTCTAAAAGACCGTTCGAGCACAAGAACGATCACTCGAGCCAAGACCGGTCGAGCAAAGAATGCCATACTCCCAGTAGTTTTATAGACCTGCAAAAGTACTAGAAGTTTTCAAAGTTTGCTCGAGCGCAAAAAAGTTCGCTCGAGTGAACAAGCCAAAATCTGGATAGCAACAGTTTTGAAAAACTAACTCTCAATCTGTTTTAAACACAACCAAGACACTCCAATAACCAATCTCAACAAGGAAAAAGATGAAAGAAGACATGAACAACCATCAAGACAAGAAATTCTAGATCCAAAATAATGAATGGGTCGGGTTTAAACCAAAATCATTATATACATAGTGCATCAACTAACCAAATTGTCCCACAAGTCAGAAACATATTATAAATAATCATAAATATTATAGCCCTTCTGAAAGAGAAGGTTGCATGAGAAAATTATAAACCTCTGGGGCTTCTAGTAATAGAATTACAATGTTAAATAGAGCAGGATTGTTGATTACTCTTGGTTAAAATTGATGCTGATAATTACCTCAAGGGGTTTGACTTAGTAGGAAAAGAAGGCAACCAAAGTGCTTACCACTCAAGAGGTCACAAGTTCGAACCCAACAAAGACCAAACATCACAAACCTTGGGGCCATTGGAGGTTTACCTAGTTGTTAATTTCAGACCTCAAGATTAGTCGAGGTGCGCGTAAGTTGGCCCGGTCACCCAATTATAAAAAAAAATTGATGCTCGTAATCTTAGTTAGTAAGTAGAGATAGCATTCCACTTAAACTCTCCCATTTATGGTTTAAAATCCCAATACAACTATTGGAGGATTTTGGTGTATCACAAAATCATTTCAATCACGTATCCGTTTGGCCAAAACCTTTACACCTCACTAGGAGGTTAGTAATTCAAATTTTTCCACCTGCGTGTGAATATTGTTCTTTGTATATTTGTTGGGTTTCTGTCTCCGTCTTTGAGAGCTTCTTTGTATTAATTGTGTGTTGTATTTAATTTTTTATTATTATTATTGTAATTCATTGGATTTCATTATAATGTCAAATATAAATCGATCAAAATAATAATAATACATTAGTTTACAATCATATAGCAATATTAGCAAGACGGGTTCTATAATCTCTATTCTCTCCCCTTTTGTTTTGATATGGAGTTGCCTCTCTCTCTCTCTCTCTCTCTCTCTCTTCTGTTTCCTTCAATATAGGATGAATTAACGAAATGAAAATTATGTATGCAAGTGGTAACTACAAACATAATGAATTATCATAGTGGTTTATTAAATGTCATTCTCATAACTCCAATGAAAGATTGATCGATTCAATGTTTCATTAACTTGTAATATGATAAACATGATCAATTCCTTGAAAGTTACATAAATATGAAGCAAATGTTGTTAATTTTCAATTATTTACTGCAGGTTGTGAGAGTTTATCGAGATTGCAAAAGCTAGAGACGTTATATCTTGGAGTAAACCAGTTCAACAATAGGATCATTCTATGTTTGAGTTCATTGATATCTCTCAAAAACCTTTCTCTTTACGGAAACAACTTGGGGGATCTCTTTCCTGCCCGAGGCATGTCTATCTTTTTGAGAACTCCCAAATATAATATATTATCCATCGTTATCTTATTCATATCTTAACAAGAATTGTTTCAATGCAGAATTAGCGGTGTTGAAAAACTTGGAGACTTTGGATTTAAGCCTTACTGAGCTTAGTTCCCTAACAATGCAAGGTACGACTTAAGAACTTCCTAGATTCAGTTGAATAGAACTATCAATAAATTTTATATTTATATGTATGAGTTCATGTTTAAACTACCTGTTATGGATACACAAGTACCAAATACAATGATTAATGGCACAAGTATAACTTACAACAATGGATTAAAAGTATATCTGTTTATTTGAAAACAACTTCTTAAATATTGTATACCCATTTAAAATTAGGGATACTTACGTATAGGTCTTACTAAATTGACTTATTCTCCAATAGGTACTATGATAATTAATGGCATCTTTCATCATACACTGTTAAAAAGCGTTACTAATTATTAATTTTCAGCGACAGTTTAAAAAATTTGTCACAAAAAAGTTACTAATTATAAGTTTTAGCGACAATTTAAAAAAATTGTCACAAAAGCATCACTAATTTTCAACTTTCAATGACTGTTTGAAAAATTCGTCACAGAAAAATGCCACTAATTGTAAGTTTTAGAGACAATTTATAAAAATCATGATAAAAAAAAGTCACTAATTGTCAATTTTTATGTAAAAAATTGTTACAAAAAATTATTTTTAGTGACGATTGTATTAAGACTTATTTTCAATAGGACTTGATGTGAACTAAGTCCAACTATTAGGACCTATTAGTAGTTTATCCTCAAAAAGTTATTACAACATGTTTACACGCTCCTCCATCTAGTTGTTTTTGTTAGCCTAGGCGTTGAGTTGTAGCCGTTGGTATATGTTGTACTACATGGTTTTGTTGTGCCAACACAAGCTCTTATATTACTTGTGTAATTATCAGGAAAAAAAAAAGCATAGGTAATAAATACAAAACACAATTATGTGGTTTACGTTTACCATCTTTACCTAGCAAAGCGACTACACTACCAAAATACCCAAACACAATAATACTACCTACAAACCATAACTTAATAGAAATGATACCAATGCATAACCCTTTAACTTGCTTTTTTAATAGAAAAATTCCATTTGGAGTCGGTTTGCAATTTTGGCCTAAATATTCTGTTCAAGCAGCACTACTCATTCTTCTTTAGAGAATCAACTCTATTACTCTTACAAGGAACATGTTTTCCCATGAGAGGAGAGCCCCTCAACCCTCTGGCGTATTAAAACCTTGGGCATGCTCAAATTCTTAACTCTAAGCCTCTTTTAAACCAGATTATTACTGCAAAGATTATGAAATTATTGAGGCAACAATACTACATAAAAGAAAAACCAACATCTAAAGATAGGAACTTGAGACAATTTCCAACAAGTTCACATAAAGAGAAAGGCCATGAATCAATTAAAGTAAAGAGGATTTGACAAAGACATTGGACTGAAAACAGAATATTCATATGACAAATAAGAAAGAGAAAAGAGAAAAGAGAAAGAGAGAAGAGAAATAATTGTATTCAATTGATATATTTATAATACAAAGCTATGGGTATATATATAGCACTATGTAGGAGTGTTGTACAAGGGAAAGAATAAGGTAGGGAGCAAGAATAAGATAGGGAGAGAATACGGTAAGATTTGAACATACTTAATAGGGAGGAGCCTATAATCTAAATATGGAATACAAAGAATAATATATATATATATATATATCATATATTAACATCCCTCCTCAAACTCAAGGTGGCAAGGTAGAAATCAACTTGAGTTTGGAAACCAAATCTTGGAAACGTCCAAGTGGATGGGTCTTGGTGAAGATGTCAGCAATCTGATCAGCAGAGGAAATAGGAAGAAGATGAATAGTGCCTTGAGTAACATGTTGGCGAACAAAATGACAATCAATCTCAATGTGTTTGGTTCGATCATGGAAAGCATAATTATGCGCAATTTGGACAGCACTACGATTATCACAATATAGAGGAGTGGCAATGGAAGAAGTAGCACCCCTATCTGAAAGTAACCACCAAAGCCAAAAGAGCTCCTGAATGGTATCATCAAGAGCATTATATTCGGATTCGGTGCTGGAGCAAGACACCAAGGTTTGTTTCTTGCTATGCCAACATATGAGAGAATCACCCAAGAAGAAACAAAATCCTGTGGTAGAGCGACGATCAGTCAGATTACTAGCCTAATCAGCATCTGAATAGGAACTAGAGGAATAATGAAGACCATGAAATAAAATTCCTTTAACATACCGAAGAAGACTGCAGAGCACAGCAACATAATGTGTAGATTGAGGAGCTGACAAAAATTGGCTAACAAGGTGAGGAGCATGTGCAATGTCAAGTCAAGCAATAGTGAGACAAAAAAGATTGCCTATTAGTTGTCGATACAAGGTGGCATTGGGAAGAGGTGTACCGTCCAGGGGTGTTAGGTGTTCATTAGGCTCAAGAGGAGTAGAGACGGTTTTGCTGTCAGTGAGGCCATACTTTGTTAGAAGGTCAGAAGCATATTTGGCTTGAGAGAGATAATAACCATCGAAGCTAGAGGAGATCTTATGGCCCCAAACAACATTTGAGAGTACCCAAATCGTTCATCTCAAAGTGTTCACTAAGAGACTTTTGGAGTACATAAATTCCATGAACATCATCACCAGTAAGAATCATATTGTCCATATAAAGAAGAAGAAGAACAGTGCCATGTTCAGATTTACGGATAAAGAGAGCAAAATCATAAGAGCTGGAAGAGAACCAAAGGCCTGGATAGTGGAACTAAACTTTGAAAACCATTCATGAGGAGCTTGTTTGAGTCCATAGAGTGCATTTAGAAGTTTATAGACCTGATTAGATAAGTTAGGATATCCAAGAGGTGGTTTCATATTGACTTGAAGATCACCATTCAAGAATGCATTTTTGACATCCATCTAAAATAATGTCCATTTTTGAATGGCAACAATAGCAATTAAGCTTCAAACAAAAGTGAGATGAGCCACAAGTGCAAAGGTTTCTTCATAGTCAATTCTATATTCTTGTGTAAAGCCCTTAGTAACTAGATGGGCTTTATAATGTTCGATAGTCCCATCAATGTGTGTCCTAATCTTGTAGACCCATTTGCAACCAACCAACCAATCTAATTTGGTCCAAGGCTTATAACTCTTCTATCATTACTTGTTGCCAAAGTGGGTTAGTACTAGCCTCACGATAAGAGTGAGGTTTATGTTGAGAGAAAATAATAGAATAACAATGATAGTCACGAAGCAAGATAGAATGTTCTTTTACCCAGGGTGGATTGACAAAGAGATGTATTCGAAAGCACAGAGGAATTAGTGGGAAGCTCCGGAGGATCAGTGGATGCAAGGACTTCAAGAGAAGTAGGAGGACTAGGAATAAAAGATGGAGATGCAGGACCATCAGGAGAGAAAAACTCTATAGAGGGGAGTGGACCTGTAGTAAGCTCATTAGTAGCATCTGTATCAAGCTCATCATCAGAAAATAGAGGAATGAAGGGATCAGTAAAGAAAGGTGTAGTGGGAGAATCAGAGTTTTGGAATGGAGACATCGAAGAGAACATTTTATGTTCCCAAAAGACGACATGTCTAGAGACACAAAGGTGTTTAGTGATGGAATCCCAACAGCGATAACTTTTGTGTTCAATGCCATATCCCAAGAAACAACAAAGATGAGCCTGAGGTTCTAATTTGTTACGTTAATGTGGTTGTAATAAGACAAAACATGCACAACCAAAAACATGAAGATTATTATAAGTCGGAGACTTACCATAAAGACAATCATATGGAGTTTGATTGTTGATGATGAGAGAGAGAACCTAATTAATAATGTAAGTAGCAGTGAAGACTATGTCTCGTCAAAAACGCTCTAGACAAGAGGCAGATATTGAAAGTGCACGAGCAGTATTAAGAAGGTGACGATGTTTGAGCTTAGCACGACCATTCTGTTGAGATGTGCCAGGACAAGAAGAGTGAGGGAGTGTACCATATTGACGGAGAAATTTTTAAAAATTAGTTTCTTTATATTCTTGGGCATTGTTGGCACAAAAAATTTTGATGGTGTGAGAAAATTGGGTCTTGACAATATTAGAAAAATCATAGTAGTATTGTTGTAAGTTAGAACAATTTTTCATTAAAAATAACATGTCAGTAAAATCATCCACAAAAATTACAAAATACCTAGATCCCTCCATGGTAGGATGTGGTGAAGGCCCCTAAACATGAAAATGTATGAGATCAAAAGGTGCATGGGACATAGAAACACTTTTATTAAATGGTAAAGATGGTTGTTTGGCAAGTTGACAAGATAAACAATCCACTGAAATATTTGTAACATGACCTAACTGACCACTTGACACTAAACTACGTAAACGACTAAATAACACATTGTCGAGACGGGAATGCCAAAGATTGAGAGTACAACTAATGGAGGTGGCGACTGTAGAAGGAGAGAGTTGAGATGGAATGTAAAGATGAATGAGCTTATATAAACGCCCAATTTTACGGCCGATCCCAAGAGTTTGTCTCGCCCGGGGGTCTTGCACAACACAACTAGAGGAAGAGAAAAGAATAGTAAAACCAAGATCACAAAGTTGCCCAATAGAGATTAGATTGAGAGTAAGATAAGGAATTAAACAAGTGCTATGAAGGGAAATAGTAGAATTAGAGACATGGCCTATATGGCTAACATGCATGGGAGAGCCATCAGCAGTATAAATAGTAGGAATATTAGACGTAGACATGGTAGAATAGAAAATAGTAGAATTAGATGCCATATGATTGCAACAAGCAAAATCAAAAAACCATGAAGAGGTACTTGAGGTGACTGAAAGAGCGGTAGATGGTGTACCAGAAGTCGAGAGGACCTGTTTGACTATGGATTCAATGTCATGAAGTGTGAAGGTTTGGTTGGGCTCAAGAAGAGCAACACAGGAAGAAAATGTGGTAGCAGTAGCATCAGCAAAATGAGAATGAGCAGCGGGTCGATAGTGGTAATGGTGTCGAGATTGACCTTCTTTGGAACGACTAGGTTGGTGATTGGGATTTTTGAAGTAATCACTCTAATAATGGCTAGGACTAGTCTTGTTGCACCACTTACAAATCTAGATTGGACATGTAAGTAAACCATGATCGAAGTTATGGCAATAAGTACATGATTGTGCAACGGATGATTTGCTAGGCTGATGAGAAGTAGCAAGAACATTATGAGTCTGTGAAGATTTGAGAGAGCCAAAACGAGTTTCTTCAAAAAGGAGCTCAGAGATGGCATATTCTAAAGTTGGAAGCGGATGGTAGTAGAGAAGAGAAGCTCGAACATGTTCAAAATCATCCCGAAGAGCCATCAGAAAGGATGCCAAGCATTGCTCATCTCGATATGTGGAAAACTGACTAGCATTTTCCTTACAATTCCATTCAAGTTCAGACAGAGATAGTTGATTCCAAATGGCATACATCTGGGATAGAAAAACATTGATAAATTGACCAAACTCTTGGCGCATGTGATGAAGCTGGCTAAGAAGTTGATATTGGTGAGCAAAAGCAGTGGTGCTATAACGAGTCTTTAGAAAGCCCCAGATTTCCTTTGATGTGTCAAAGTACCCAAATTGAAGATTAATGGAGACAATTAAAGTATTACGGCACCATGTGATGACTTGATGGTTTTTACTATCCTAGTCATCAAGTCGTTTTTTATATTTAGAGGCAAGTTCATCAATATTTTTGATAGGTTTGACAGTATCACCAATAACAAGATGCCACAACTTCTTCACTTCGAGAAAACTAGACATGGCTTGAGCCTAAATGGTGTAATTAGAACCATCAAGAATGATGGAAATTGGTTGGGCCATGTCAGAACGATCCATAGAGAGCAAAGAAAAATTAAAACAAATTTTTTTTATAGATAAATAAATTAAATAGTGGCTAAAAAAAAATAAAACAATGGATGAAACTAGGCAGGAGTGGGGTGCGACACCTAGTAGCAAAAGTGGGGCGCGGCGCACATGAGTGAGGCCTGACATATGTTAGCATAAAGGGCACAGATGGCGTGGCACACGGCTAGAACAAGCTGGGCGGAAGCTGAGGACAGAGTGTCTGCTGAGTCGGCTAAGGCTGAGCGCAAGACGCTAATGCATTGGGATAACGTCAAATATGGCACTAGCCAAGAAAGGTAGAGATAGTGCGTGTTTGTGCGTGCGACACATTGAGATATGCGCAGAAGGTGAGGCAGTGCGTAAGGGCGCGTGGAGGGTTGGTTAGCCTTGATTTTTGTGCCGTTGAACTCCTGGTAATGAGAGGAAGAGTTTGATGTATACAAAAGTTGATTTCGACAACTTTTGATTATTGTGCAGATTGAGAGTAGTATATTTGTGTGCTAGTGGAATTAAGAGGATCAAGGATTTTCACCTTTAGCTCTGGTACCATGAAAACATAATATTCATATGCCAAATAAGAAAGAGAAAATAGAAAGAGAGAAAAGAAAGAATTGTATTCAATTGATGTATTTACAATACAGAGCTATAGGTATATATATAGCACTATGTAGGAGTGTTGTACAAGGGAAAGAATAAGGTAGGAAAAGCATAAGGTGATTGAACATACCTAATAGGGAGGAGCCTATAATCTAAATATGAAATACAAAGAATAATATATATATATATATATATTTCATAATGCATGGATTTTAGAGTGTTGTGTCATTCATTGAGCTTCAGAAGAGCATTTTAATGTTTACTCGAAATCACTAAAAAAATAAAAATCTAATGTTATAACTTTGCTTTTAGATAGCTAACACTTTCCTTGATAGTAACATTCAAGATCATAGATTTCTACTTTGCAATTATGTGTAAAAGAATGATGGTGCCATTCAATGTTGTGCTCTTGATTTTCAAATATTTAAATAAATAACAGAAAAGCCCAAAAAGAGAAAGCAAGATAAATGAAAAAGAAATAAAAGGCTAGTAAATAGTTGTTAGTACTTCTAGCTCTATAACTTCTTTTGTTTCATTTTGTTTATTATTTTTTTATTTTTTTAACTGGTCCAACTTACTTATTGATTTGAAATTGAAAATATGATGAAATACGTTTGATGTTACTTATGACAGAAATTGACTACATTGACTAGTTTTATATGTAGCAAGTAATTCCCCATGAGCAGAAACAAATGAAAGTGTATTGATTCTTTAATTAAAATGACATAGCTAGTGGTTTGTGGTTTACCTAATTACTGTTTTTGGTGAAATAAGGGGTGCGCATGCGCTCATTCCATACCACTATATATATTCTCTACAATTGTGAATCAGACTAAAGTGAAAATATTTTTAAAAAGTACCTAATTACCTATAAAAGCAATAAGTCTGTTATTTTCACTTATGGTTCTTTGGGGTTGACTTTTAATGGCATTTGATCATGGTCATATGCTCAGATTCTAAACTGCTGTCTAATTTGAGCAAGATGAGACATCTGGATCTAAGTGGTAATCATTTTGACAAGGATGCCTTCAGGATTTTGGGTGCTCTCCCATCCCTTAAGTTTATATCCTTAGAGTCCAATAGAATCGAAGGACCACTTTCTAACCAAGGTACGTGTATTTTTTATTTCTCAAATTCATGCTACTTAAGTTAATTTTTTGGGGTACTTACGTGTAGATCCTAATAAGTGGATTTATTGTCTAATAGGTCCAATGAGAAAAATTTGTCATAAAAAAATGTCGCTAATTGTAAGTTTTAGCGACAATTTATAAATATTATGACAAAAAAAGTCACTAATTGTCAATTTTTAGCGACATATATAAAAATTGTCACAAAAATTTATTTTTAGCGACAATTTTACCAAGACTTATTTTCAATAGGACTTGATAGGAATTAAGTCCAACTATTAGGACCTATTGGTAGTTTACCCTAATTTTTTTTTTTATATCTCCATTTGAGTGTTAAGAAGACTCAAATAGTTGGAAAAATGAAGCCTTACAACTAGCAAATTGTGCAAACTTATAGTTTTTCTTCGTCAAATATATCTTTTTGGAATCTATTACTGCCATCAATGGCATCATTGTCCATAAAATTTTTTTTAACATTACATTTTCATTTGACATTGAGCTACTAACAATAGAATGTAGGTCACAACATCAAATTATATTTATCTCTATTTTCTTTGTCTCAATCTAATTAACGAGTCTCTTTATCTGAGTTACAGAATTGACTTATAATCTTAGCAATCTAGAGGTCCTCCTCCTCAAATCTAATAAGCTCAATGGAACGCTACCAATGGAAGGCAAGAAATTTGTTTTTTAAATTGACTTAGGATCACCCTGCAATCTTGATTGTATTTTGTTAAGCTCTCTTGGCTCGATTTTACCTTTGTCATTTGTTTTGGTAGGTTTGACATCCTTTCGCCGTTTGGAGATCTTAGATTTGAGTGAGAATAATTTCTTTGCAAGTATTCCTCCATCCATAGGAGCATTATCTTCTCTGAAAGCTCTATCTCTGGCTCAAAATTACCTTAATGGTTCTTTACCAATTCAAGGTAAAAATTATATTCGTTAAGGTTATCTATTATAAACTAGAAGGCCAACAAAAATTCTATTTATTCCTTTCTTTTATTTATTTATTTGCTTCATGCTTGTTTAATTTGTTTAGCATTGAAGAAAACTATAAACTAGCATCATATTTCTTTTTTCAAGAGTTAGGTGGAGTTTGATAAAATTACAAGTTGAAAATTAAGTACTGAAAATTAAAAGCTAAATTCTTTTAGTTGAAAAGTTATTTGATAAAAATTTAAGTGTTGAAATTGTTTGATATGTAAGAGATTAAATTTGAAATTTATTATTTTCAAATTATATGTTTCAAATTTTATATTGTGATGGTGGTGGTGGTGATGATGGTGAGGTTATAACGGTATATGTCAATGCTTGTGCATAAGTATTTATAAATTCAGCTAGTATTAAGTAAGTTTCATATCATTTAAAACTTTCTTAACTTTTAGCATAAATTTTAAGACCACTTAAATTTTTAAGTGATGTTAATTATAATTATCAAAAGGATGTAATTGATTTTCATTCAATACATTTGGTTTTAAATATTGAATTTTGTTATCGAACAACATTTTAGTATACATCTTATAATAACAAATTTTTTACATAAATCCATGGCATTACAAACAATACGTGTTTCATAAGCTTCTTGTTTTGTAGGTTTGTGCAAATTGAAGAAACTTGAGGAGTTAGATCTCAGCCATAACCTCTTTGAAGGGATCCTTCCTCCATGCCTAAGCAATTTGAGATCTCTCAAGTTTTTTGATATTTCTCTAAACCAATTCACAGGAAACCTCTCTCCATCTATGTTTGAAAGCCTCAACTCCCTAGAGTACATTGGTCTTAGTCATAATCGTTTCGAGGGTTTATTCTCTTTCAGGTCATTTGCAAACCATTCAAACCTTGAAGTGGTTGAATTGATAAGTGAAAATGACAAATTTGAGGTAGAGACTGAATTTACAGATTGGAATCCCATGTTTCAGTTGAAAGTCCTTGTTCTATCAAATTGTAATCTAAACAAGCTCTCTGGCGATGTTCCAAAATTTCTCCTTTACCAAAACAGGCTAATGTTCGTTGATATCTCTCACAATAACTTGACAAGTTCTTTCCCAAACTGGCTACTGGTAAACAACACGAGACTAGAACATTTAATCTTGCAGAATAACTCTTTTGTTGATCTATTTTTTCTGCCGCAATACTGCTATACAAGTATTTCCCGAATTGACATCTCTGACAATCACTTCAGTGGGAAAATTCAAGCCAACATTGGGGATATGTTTCCATATATTCGATACATAAACTTATCCAGGAATGCTTTTGAAGGTGGTATCCCATCCTCATTTGGTAAGATGAGTAACTTGGATGTTCTGGATTTATCCACTAATAATTTTTCAGGGGAGGTACCGAACCAGTTAGTTCGAAATTGCATATCTTTAGGAGCTTTAAAATTATCAAATAACAATTTTTGTGGCCAAATCTTTTCAGTTGACTTCAACTTGACGCAGCTATGGATTTTGCAGTTGAATGATAATCAATTTACAGGACCTGTAACAAATGTGCTCTCCAAATTGCATGAATTGTATTTCCTTGATATTAGCAACAACTACATGACTGGTAAGATTCCAAGTTCAATGGGTAACATGACATCGTTGAGAACACTAATCATGGGAAATAATTCATTCAATGGTGAGTTCCCATGTGCATTGGTTCCAAGGGTGTTTATGGATATCTCTTATAACTTATTTTCAGGATCAATACTTCCTTCTTGCTCAAACCCAAACCTACAATACTTGGAGCATATGCATTTGCAAGGAAACAAGTTCACAGGGTTAATTTCAAGGGCTCTCCTTAATTCGTCATTTCTTTTGACTCTGGATATTAGAGACAACATCTTTTTTGCTAGCATTCCTGATTCCATTAGGCTACTTTCCAACATCAGAATTCTTTTGTTCAGAGGGAACCAACTGAGCGGTTCAATTCCAACTCAATTGTGTCAATTAAATAAGATAAGTTTGATGGACCTTTCCAATAACTATTTAGATGGGTCTATTCCCCATTGTTTCGATAATTTCACCTTTGGCATGATAGGGGCTAGTGACCAGGCCTTCATGCAGACAATTGTATCTTCGTCCGGTAGGAATACGTTTTACAAATATGATGGTGTCCTAGAAACGAATTTTGAAATCCATGACATGGATACCATGTATAACAAAGTAGATGAAGTTGAGTTTGTTACCAAAAGTAGGACTAACTTCTACAGGGCTGGTAGCATCCTTAATTTCATGTCTGGATTGGATCTGTCATGTAACAAACTAACAGGTGAAATACCTTTTGAACTAGGGAAGCTAAGTAGTGTTCGAGCACTGAACTTGCCTCACAATCTCTTGACTGGACCCATCCCAAAGACCTTCTCAAACCTTGCCCAAATAGAGAGTTTGGACCTTTCTTACAACAGTTTGAGCGGAAACATCCCAACAGAACTAATCAATCTAAATTTTTTGGAAGTGTTCACTGTGGCTCACAACAATTTATCAAGTAAAATATTAGACAGGAAAGCACAATTTGGGACCTTTGAAGCGAGCAGTTATGAAGGAAATCCATTTCTTTATGAACTGCCATTGGAGAAAAATTGCACAACCATCATTGATTTGCCATACTCGCCAACAACAGCATCCTCAGATGAAACTGAGGGAAAATGGTATGATATTGATCTACCGATTTTTTCTACAAGTTTTATAGGAATGTACATCACTTTCTTGTTTGGATTTGCTGCTATTCTTTACATCAACTCATACTGGAGACAAAGGTGGTTCTATTTGATTGAGGAGTGTATGTATTCTAATTATTATTTTATTTCTAATACTCTTTACAACATATTAGGCCATCTCAATAATTAGCCATGGTTTGTTTCCATGGACAAGCAAGGGTGGAGGCAACATAGGCCTTGGAGGGGCACATGCCGCTCCTCAACTTTCTAAAATTTATGTTTTAGTATAGGTTAATAAATAGTTGGGTAAATTACACTTACCTCCCCTGGGGTTTCTGACAAATACAAAGACCTCCCCTGTGGTTTTAATAATTACAAAAACCTCCCTTACTTTAACTGACAATATCAAGATTCTCTCATTTTTTGACTGCCATTCACATAACTAACAGAAGTTGCTGATGTCACCAAAGATAAATACTGAAATGCCCATAAGCCCTCAAGTCTCTTGAAAAACTCCATGAGCTAAGTTACATGAAATAAAACCCAATCTATTCTCTCTCTCTCTCTCTCTCTCTCTCTCACACACACACACACACACACACACACATAGAGCACTGTGGAACACACCTACAACCAAAAATAAATAAATAGAACACAACGTATTCTCTCTCTCTCTTTCTCTTAGACTTATCTCTCCGGCATCCTCCCTATTTCACAATCCTAACAAATTCAACCAAACAACACAGTTAACAATAAACTCAATCAAAAGTAAACAAAGCTACCAGCTTCATACCCAACAACAACAATCAAATCAAACTCACCACCAACAGCTACAATCTTTACAATCCCCATTTCTTAAAACCCTCAAAAAAAAAAAAAGGGTATATATATATATATAGCCACCATCATAAAACCCAGAAAAATTAGAACCTAAAATCACTCAAAGCCATCTTCAATTCAATTCCTCAACTAGGTAACTCCAAAAACAAGCCACCGTGAATACTTTTTGACCCTTCACAGATTAAACTTACTTTATTGTATATATACATCCAAATTCCCAATATTCTAATAAATAATACCAATTGTATTACTTGCATTCAAAGATCAACTTGCAAAAACTAATTTAGATTACAGAGCATTACTAAAATTTTCAGATTACAGATAACATTCTTTGTTTTTAGAGCATTACTAAAATTTTCAATAGCATTTGTTGTAATACATGTAAACTAACTCAGATTATAGATACCCATTACATATCTATCTATACTATACTATTATTAAGTGAAGGCCTAAATTGGTTTAGTGAAGCCTTCTTCTCCTCATGCCATGTAGTAACTTTATATATGCTAAAATAAAATAAAAAATTATTATACCAGCATAAACAAGTTTTGAACCCAAGATCTTAGGTTTCATTAAGAACATACTTATCACTCATGCAACATATATATTGCAATATTAAATTCTTTATTATTTGTTTTTATTATTAGTTATTTGAATTGCACACGCATTGTGTGTGCCACCCGTTAGTCTTTATAGGGAAAACTCTCCAAAGGAATTTTTTGAATTAATATCACCAGAAAAAAATACTGTGTGATAAAACAAATAAAAAAGTATTTTTATAATGGGTTTAATTTCTCTCAAATTGTCATCTCAACTTAAAAGAGTGTTTGGACTTGGTAGAACTACTTTGGGGCCGATTTCGGTGATTCGAATCGTTCACTTTTGATGACTTATTGAGTAAACTATTCATGCAAAAAATCAAGACGATTGGACATCGATAGTTATATGTTTTGATCATATTTGTTTTAAAAAAATAGACGATAAATATAATATAAAGAATAGTCATTCATTTTTTGTAATACAAATCTGATTTAAACATATAGTGATTACCAACTTGAAAGAAACCAAGCCCTTTTATAATATAACAAAACTTAAGATGGAATAATATAATAATTAAAATCTTAGGGTCAATATTGTAAAGCAAAAAGGATCAAAGTGAAATAGAATAACAAGTATAAGGACCAAACTGAAACTTTGAGGAAACTAGAAAGACTATTGATGTAATTAGTCCGTTTAAAAATTATAAATACTTTTTTTGTCAGAATTTATTATTTAATAAAATTGACACTTACTATACTTCTACAACATAATGAAATAATTCAAATTGTTAATTTAAAATATTATTAAATATTGTTAATTAACTTAATGGTTATTAAAGAAAGAAATTCTTTGTAATGCAATTATAAATTTTAAGATGTGATCTGTAATTTTCAAAATTATAAGAGATACTTAATATTTTAAACAAATCTCATGATGCATTTGTTTATCTTTTTTTTTTATGGGCTTCTTTTTGTGACTACTTTTTTTTATTGGTTATTTACCAAATAGTGTATCATAAAAAAATATATATATATTATAAAAATGAGACAATTACCTCAAGATCATATAGGGGAAAAGATAGTTGCCACAAAAATGTTTGGAAGGCTCTAAATATATTCTAAAATTTTGATTGGACAACCCAATTTTCAAATTTAGGGCTCTTTTGAAAAGTGGGTTAGTAAACAAAAATCAGCTTTTACCACATTTTAGATCACACTTTTTATACATTTTTTCAAAAAAAGGTAAAAAAAAGAAAAAAGAAAAAAAAAAGGTTAGCTTTTAACCATCTTCCCAAAACAACCCTTAATGTTTGTTGCTTTTTTTTCTTAACATTTTAATTAATTCCCACCGTACTCCCCGCTCACCTAGTTTGTTGGTGGCACCTCCACCACCTCATATCCTTCATTTCTTACTTGTTTTCTCTTTTCCTTCCTCTAAAGCCTAATCCTAATCTCAACGTCCTCTCATCTCTTCATTTTCTTTACAACTGACACCTCTATTCATTAGCATCCTCCTTATCCTTACCTAAATCCTATACAACAACATGGAGAAGGGATTGGGAAGAAATTTTTGGGATCAATGATTGGACCATGCAAACTAGAATCAATAGCGGCACGAGGGACGGGAACCGCAACAATAGATGGAAAAGATATAGGTGAGTTAAATTATATCCAAATTTAAGTAAATAATTCAAAATGACTTTTCAAATTAACAAGTTTTTATCTTTCGAATATTCAACTGACCAATTAATTCTTTGTAACATACTATATTTGCCACTATTGGAATTTCCCATTGCTGTAGTAGTACGCTCTGGCCAGTGTCAAAATGTCTAATTCTGAATGAGCGGAAGACGATTGAGTCTGCCCATTTTTTGTTCCATTCTCAAGTCTCTGAACTTATAAAGTCTCGTTTCTGTAGTGGACCAATTCGTTAACATACCACCGAGCACCTTCAAGAATCTCTTAGTCCTCATATTGAGGATCTATTACATGTGCCTCAACTATGGACACCTCCTCAAATGCAGCTTCCTCGTAATTTTTATCTTCAACAAGTGTCAAGAGCTTCCTCGATAAAGAAAGGAAAGCAGGTAGCCGCCCAGGGCAGTCTTGTTTG